TTCTGGAAAACTATAAATCGCGCAAAACTGATCGTTCTGCTAAAACACAAATATTATTGTAAAAAAATCAGATTACAGGTAATATGTCAACAATGTTCGTGTAATGGCAACTGAGCCAAATAAGCATCCAGTGTTGCTCGTGTAATGCTCTAGTGCAAAAATAAGAGGTGATGCAGATGGCACTATCTCCCCTCTTTCATAATATGTCAACAAAGTTCGTGTAATGGCAACTGATCCAAACAAACACCCAGCGTGGCTCATGTAATGCACGAGTGCAAAAATAAGCCGCGAAGTGCTGCAGCTGTCTCTTGCAGTCTTCCCTTAAGGCAGAAGCAGAGAAAGAGAGAGCCATCGACAGCCTTGCCAACGAGTGATTGCTATTGGCACGTACTACTATCACTCAAGTGATAAAGGGGAACTGTAGAGATATAAACGGTGAATATCCGTGACCGGGAGACTGGAGGAGGAAGGAGAGCTTCAAATCATTTGTATATAAATAAAACGCCAGTTGGTTTAGCGTAGCAATAATCACAAAGCAGTGTAAACAAAAAGTCGGATTTTGATAATCTAAAGAAAACAAATTCGATAATCTAATCAAATTTGATGTTTACCGATTTTTGATAATCAATGATAATCAATTTTAATTATAGTGGTAATCAATTTTAATTAGGGCGATAACCAATCTTAATTATAACGATAATCGATTTTAATTAATCGTAATCAATTTTAACGATGATCAATTTTGAATAATAATCAATTTCAGTGACGATCAATTTTGATGATAATTTATTTGTTCATGATGATAATCAATTTCGATTTTAATAATTATCAATTTTGACTTTTTAATGACAGTCAATGATAATCAATGACAATTTAAATTATAGTGATAATCAATTTTACTAATAATCGATTTTAAGGACCATCAATTTAAATTACAATGATAATCAATTTCAATTATCATGATAGTCAGTTTTAGTGATAATGATAATCAATTTTAGTCGTAATGATAATTTTAATTACAATGATAATCAATTATAATGACAATCAATTTTAACGATAATAATCGACTGCTTTTGATAATTAGTTTTGTTAGTCTAAAGAAGTGCGGTATTTAGATCTCGCATATAGGACTCTACTTCCCGGGTGCCTCCTCCCTCTTGCTGAAAGAAGCGGTTGGGGATGGGGCTTGCTCTGCCAAGAATTGCCCGCCTGGAGCTCTCATGTGCCTAGCTGCCCACTGCTAAGGGGATATTTTTTCCTTCACTCAAATCTCAGCGCTTCATTAAATCTACCTTTTCCAGAATTCCACGAATTTCTCAAAGAATACTGGTATTTGTGGTTTTGGCGAAAATACTGCGTTTTTTTTGTCCAAATTTATGACCCCT